AGGAACGTCGCTAAATCCACGTGACCGCGGACCGCCCGCGGGCATGCTGCCAAACGCCACCTGACTGCTGTGCTTGGGGTGGCAAAAAACATAGAGCCGCCCCTGTGTGGGTGGGACCTTTGTGGGGTCAGATTGGCTCAGGCATCAGCCCACGTAACCCCTTCATCCATCACAGGCCCCAGTGTGCTGGTTTGTTACTAGAGTCCTCATTGCTGTACAGAGCACAAGGGACTTGGGCCCTAAATCACTAACAAACAGGCCCTGTGCTGCTGTGAGGGAGTTTGTGGAGGTGACAGCTGGAGACAACCAGGGACTCTCAGAGGTGAGGTTCCCCCTGGGAACAAACACGTCACCTTCCACTTGCTCCAGGCTCCAACTATCCTCTCTTTCCCTTTGCAGGTCTGACAGAGAGGACAGATTCTCCGAATACCCCAGGTAAAGCATCCCCCTCCTCCCATCAAGGGTTAAATTTCCCTGTGCTGGGTCACAGAGGAGGAGCTGCAAGCTGCAGCCTGCCAGAAGGAGCTCCTTTCCATGGCCTGTGACATTTGAGGATGATGACAGCTGAGGGAAGTGACAGCTGGAGGCCCCCAGGGAGTCTCAGAAGGGACATTCCCCCTAGTAACGAACACCTCACCTTCCCCTCGCTCCAGACTTCAACTCTCCTCCCTTTCCATTTGCAGGTCTGACAGAGAGGACAGATTCTCCGAATACCCCAGGTAAAGGATTCCCCTCCTCCCATCAAGGGTTAAATTTCCCTGGTGCTGGGTCACAGAGGAGGAGCTGCAAGCTGCAACCTGAGGGAAGGAGCTCCTTTCCCTGGCCTGTGACATCTAGGGGCAAATGACACCGGGATGGGAGCTGCAGGCCCTGCTGAGCAGGACAATTCCTGTCTGCTGGCTCCAGCTGACAGAGCAGGGCCCATGATTTAAACAGCAGCCTGTGAGCTGCCCCCATGGTGCACAGACTGTGTCCCAGCCGTTTACTCTTCTGTCCTGGGCCGTGCAATGAGTGACTGGGGAGCTCCCCGGGGCCCCTCTGACTCTCACAGGATAATCTTTCCCTTTTGCATGTTCATTTTCATCCAGTTCCCTCACGCCGTCCTCCGACTGACAGTGGGAGAGTCACGGTGCCTGGGATTGTCTGCATTATCCTGGGAGCCCTGCTTTGCCTGGTCTTAATCATCCTGGGGGCGCAGGTGCGAAGTGCCAGGGCACAGCACAGAGGTGGGTGCTGATTGGTGTCACTGTGTGAAATGCCTCTGCAATAATAATAATCAGACCTCAAGTATCGGGGGTAGCCGTGTTAGTCTGTACAAGAAGGAGTCTGGTGGCACCTTAAAGACTAACAGATTTATTTGGGCATAAGCTTTCGTGGGTCAAAAGCCTCACTTTTTTGACCCACG